GAAACTAATATATGGTACAAATTAAAAATGAAAAGAAAACTGGTACAAATTAAAAAATATTTGCAAATTAAAAATAGGTACAAACTAGAAATAAAATATATGATAAAAAATTTAGCCATAAATATAAATATACTAATTGTAACATTTTTAACACTAAATGAATATATTTAAAAATAAAAATGTTTTATTATTCAAATAATTAATGATGTTATTAATACCTAAGGACCTTGATAAAAAATTGAAAATGAATATGATTTTAATCAATGGAGTAACAAAAAATGATGTAAACCTAATTTCCCTTTTTAAAATCTAGCGTCAAGGAGAAATTGACTATTTATAAAAGTTCAGACAGGTAATCGGCTAAAATTAAAGTTCAAGGGGAAAATTGGCTAATTATAAAAGTTCAAGAGTAATCGGCTAAAATTAAAATTTAAGGGAGAAATGTGTGATTCTATACAATTTCAGGGAGCAAATTGATAAATATGCCTATATGAATTGCCTTTCTCTCCCCAGTGATCCGTCTCCATCAGACAAGGATCCTCGCCAGATCCTTTTCCTGTGGATTCGAGGAATCCCGTGATCATGACAGTTTATCGTACATCGTGTGATCAGTTTTCGTTAGGTACTATTTTTATTTAATTTTAAATTTTAAATTTTAAACGATTTATGACCGCACGTTATACGATGAACAATCATGATCACGGGATCCCCCGAATCTCCAAGAAAAGGATATGACGAGGATCCTTTTTCGTCTCGATCGATGTTCCCTGCTCATTTGGACAAGTTCATCTAAAAGGAAAATGACATGTCCATTCATCGTACATCATGCGATCATAAATCATTTGAAATTTAAATTTTAGAATTAAATATAAATAGTACCTAACGAAAACTGACCACTTAATGTACCATAAACGAACACAATTACAAGATCCCCCGAATCCCTAAGAAAAGGATCCAACGAGGATCCTTTTGCCATCTAAAAATCAATGGATCACGTACAATGCATATATTTTCATTACTTTATTTATTCAACTATTCATCTCCGTTTCATTTTTTTCCCATCCTTTTGTAAATGATTATAACCTCTTTTTCAGATGATACTACGGCGATCCTTGATATGTGGGCATATAGCATGCACCCTTTAGACTTCGGATCCTCTTTATGAGGATTATGAGAATCCTTCAATCATATTCGTTAATCGTACATCGTGCAATCAGTTTTTGTTAGGTACTATTTATATTTAATTTTAAATACAAAAAATTTACAATGATTTATAGGTCTGAATTTAGAGTCTATTTAGTTTAGTGATTGTTTGGTTTTACTTGTTGCATGGAGGTTTTTTGTTTGATTCATGTGAAAACAAGAACCAAATATATGTGTAGAGTTAGATACCAAGTTACCAATGACACGTAATGATGACGTAAAACGGTTAATGGTTACCATTTGCTCTAATATGAATATGGAACAGATTGATATTTTGGTGTGTGCTTGTACCTTTTGGGCATGAGAGAGGGAGAGGATGGGGTGTGTGGCAACTGACTCACTAGTCACTACACAGAAAGAGAAAGAAAAGATTCACTACACAAAGAAAGATAGAGAAAGGATGGAATTCATGACTGAGAAGTAAGAGCTAGCTAGCTAATAGACGAAATTGAAGTCTTGAAGGGAAGGGATCATTCATTCCAACCGAAAACGAAAATTAGATACTATTTTATAGAAAAAGGAGAATAAGATAGACATGAGATGAGGTGAGAAGCAAAAGCAAGCTGGACAAAGACTGCTTATCCAAACAAACAAGAAGGAAGAGAGCCAGAGCCAAGGGGATACAGACTCACTTTTATTTCTCCAGATAATAAAGCATTGGTCACCTGAGAACCTTCCCGATACGGAAATTATTCGCTTCTGTGGGCATCTGTGAGGGAGTGTGGTAATCCCCACTTGCCAAGTAAATATTCTTTTTCATACAGCCACGGCCACCGGTCCATCTCCCTTCTCCAGAATAACACCTTCTATGAATTGCGAGTGCATTGCAATCGTGGTGTTCACTGCTAATGAAAATATCATATATGAGATGTAATGATCAGGTCTTTGATCATCACAACTGATATCATCTCATTGAAAAAACAAAAACATAGTCATATTTTGTTATGCCAGAAAAAACTCGATTTTTAAGTTGGAAAGCGAATTGCATCTCAATTCTAGTTTCATGATAAGGTCTTGATCATTGTAACCGGCATAATCTAATTGAACAAAAACAAAAACATAATCATCGTCTGTCCTGTTGAAAAAAAAAACTCAAATTTCATGTTGGGAAGTGAATCACATCACATCTCAATTCTAGTAAATAATTTATAACCAAAATCAAAATGTGACTGAAAATAATATCAAAGTATCTATTAGAATTAAGTCCAAACGTATTACACATAATTCCCAAAGGAACATTATGTTCCTACACCTCACAAAATAAATGTGAAATTAAACAAGTGGTGAGGCCTTATTCATCATAAACATGAACAATTGACCGGACTAAACAAAATGTCACATATACAACCATCTAATCAGAATATATAGATATCTAGAAATTAGTTAAATAAAATGCATGGACATCAAAACCTAATCCTAATTTTCCCAGGAACAAGGACCACTTCCCAGAATATGTCTACTTTCCCACAACTCCCTCTTTGTTAGTCATCATTCATAAGTCCTGGTCACCAGTGCCATCTACCTTGTTAGGCAGTTTTATCAACACTAAAGTGTCGAAGGGGCTTCTTTCCCCGATTGTGCACTTTGGGTTGGCAGAATTCTGTCCTTACGAGAGTAACACTCAACTAAACCAAGTTCTTCCTTATAAATACAAGGGTTGTATCATCTCTTTAACTCAAACATCTTGTTTTTCACTTCTTCTTGATATGTTTTTTTTTTTTTTCCGACTTGTTTTAGTCATAACTATTTACTCTAGACGGTACCAAAAATTAAAGATCAAATACTTCTTCAGAAAAAAAGAAAAATACCATCATATTGAAGACGAGCTTATTAACAAGCCACACACACACACAAACACCATTTTGAATATAGAGAAGGATTTAGAAAACTAGAATATCCCTAAGTTTCCGACATGTGACATATATTAGAAAGAGATAATCAAATTTAAATCATATTATTCAATTAAAACAGTTGAAAAAAACCATTTTAGTCACTTATGCTAGTGTAGATTTTCAACTACTCTCTCAACACCAACATATGCAAAAGGGTCATAACTATTTGCATATAGGTATGAACACAAGCTTACTAAGATTTTTATTTCGAATCATTATAGAGGCCCCAAGATCCTTCTACCTTAATCCGACTTCGTGGTGATTGATAGCGTTTTCTGGGTACTCCAATGTTTCTTTGGAATTTGCTCCGACAAAGAAACACGAAAAATTTGACATATGCAAATTCATATGTCAATTCACATAAGATTAACATATCGATTGAAGTTTATTTTTACTTTCAAATTTGAGTACATGACATTCCATTTAAGATTTGATATCTTCGTTGGACAATTAAAAATCTCGATTCCCAAAAAGAGAGTTCCACATTAATTATGCACCTCTCCACTCTCTCTCTCTCTCTCTCCCTAAAACGTCACTGACTTCCCCCAAAAAAATCCCCTTGTTTTGGTCCATCAATGGCGTGACCTTTTCCATCGATTCCGAACGCAGTTTGAATCAAACAAAGCCTGAAAATCTCGAGCTCCCAGAGAGAAAGTTCCAGAGGAGAAGGAGGAACCCGACTTTGGATAGGTCTAGATCCGAGTTCGGAAGATCCAAGAGGTGATTTTTGAGACGTTGAAATCCAACAAGCCTTGTGGGTGAATGAACTCGTCGAAGGGGATTATTGGGCCCCAGTCAGATTTGATCTTGGCAGAGTAGAAAGAGAATTGAGCAGAGAGAGACGCGAGGGAGTTAGTCCCCGCGAATCCCATGGTTCTCAACGGGTCCCATTAGCGAGGGAGTTGATCCTTGCATGGCCCCCTTAGGGCGTGCGTGTTTGGCATGCCTAATAACACACCAGATAGTATTATTTAATACTATTCGGTGTTTGGTGTCATTCTATGTTAAATTAGCACCGAATTATTTATTCGGTTTTGGCCTATTAAATATGATGTACGTTGGATAATTTATACACTTCAAATCATCGGTATTAATTAGTCGGGTCGCTGAAAATAAAATCAAGCTGACTCTTTTTCCATCTCTCTTGCTAGTTTTAAATTGTGAAACTCAGTGCCATAAATATTCTTCAATCTCCTTTTGAAGAAGTAGATGAACATGATAATCTTTGATTTTTTGTGCAGCAGTAACTTTAAGAAATAGGAGGAAGAATTACGGACAAAAACAAGTCCAAGATGAATTGAGTTTTTAATCCAGTACTGTACCAAACGCCCGATTAAATAGTCAGTACTATCCGATGACAAATTATCCTATTCGACTGAAATAATCAATATAGTCCGAGCTGCCAAACGAGATCATTTAACTTAGTCTCTCCACTTAACAAACACAAGATAACGTTAATATGTAGTCCATTCCAAAGACTGTTTGTGAGGCCAAACAAATGAACCCTTTGTGGTTTGTGCCTCCGCTCAACCAGGAGTGAGGGAGAAGAAGGGCGTTGGATACTAGAATTCTGAATGTTTGATGGTCAATTTTAGTTAAGTCTTGTTGAGTTAAAAAAAATACAGGTTCTTTTGTTCAAGAAAAAAAAAATACAGGTTTTGATGCCGCGTAGAATAAAGGCTCGTGACCGTTCAGGACCCAAATATTGTCCGTCCCGGCGCGGCAATTCCAGTTACCGCTCAAATGCAATGGCATTCAGGCGCGAAAATCGAAATCCACCCTAAGCGGGAATTTTAAGGCAAACCAATTTGGCGGGAGAAACAAAAATTATGACAAATAGGAAAAAGAAATTTATCCTAAAAAGCAGAAAAAGAGGAAATTAAATCGCTCTTGAAATCATTTTACACTATTTATAGAAAAGAAATTTGTTAGCTCTTGGATAAAAAACTTGTTAATCTATTTATCTAATTGCCGCTCTCTGCCTCCGCTACCGTTGCCTTTTCTTTTCCAGAAAACAAAAAAATCTCAAAGAAGGTTTTTTGTTTGTGAATATTTTTCCAAAAAGCCATTATTTCTCTCTCGTTAGGGTGTCGGAGTCTTATCTCGTTTTTCTTCCTAATCCCCAATCCAATTGACACAAACAGCGCCTTTACCCGTCCTGTCCAAATTCCGTGGGAGTTCGGGATTCGTATCTGTGGATTTCAACTGGGGTTTGACTGAATCGGACTTTTTCTAGCTCTAAGCTTTTAAGAATGATGTGTGAAGTGGCGTTAATCGACGGCGGAGATGACCCGAGCAGCCAGAAATCTACCATCCAAGATCAGGTGAGGAAGACCCAGAAGCGAAAGAGGGCTAGTTTGGACCCAGAATGTTTGGGAGTCGAAGCGAAATGGGCGAAGATTGAATCTTTTCGCAAGCAGCTTGATGGGTTGTTTGGGTACTACAAGGAAGTGATGGGTCAGAAATTAGATTTAGATCCGAAGCAGTGTGGGAACAATGTGAATTCGGTCATTGGGGCTTTGATCGAAGAGAGTAGCCTGCCATTGTCTAAGCTTGTTGAGGAGGTCTTCGACAAGGTCAAGAACTGCAATGAGGTTCTTGGGAATGTGACTTTGGCCCATGTGAAGAGCATTGTGCTCTTTGTTGGGCAAAGAGCGATGTACGGCGTGCCAAATGTTGATGCTGATGTGTTGGAGGACGAGTCCGAGTCCTGTCTTTGGTGTTGGGAGGTAATGTTTGTATAGTTTTGACTTTTTGTCAAGATTCAATATTTGCCCATCTATTTCGTGTATTGGTTTGTTCAATTTTGTGTATTTTCCTGAATTTGTGGTGATATATTCATGAACTTGCGTTTTGGTTAATCTAGTTTTGATTGTTGTTCTTATTGGGTATGTTGTTGTTCATGTGAAATTGTATTTAGATTGCTGTTTAGGTCTGAATTTAATGGCTGTTCCGTTGTGAGCATTTTAATTTGGTGCTTGGAAAGAAAAACTGCATACCCTGGCAGTTTAACTTTGTTTCTGAATATTTGGCAATTCTATGTTCGCCCATAGTTTTTTTCTCTTTTCAGATGTTGCCTATAGCTACTGCTTGCTTGTTGCTTGCGTATTGTTGGGCCGCCTACTAATTGTTGCTGTTTGTGAACTTCCTATGCTGCAGTATTTATATTATCTTTGGTTTAATAAGTTATTATGTTTTCTTATGTATTATATAGACAAGAGATGTAAAGTTGATGCCAGCATCTGTGCGAGGAGTATTGAATATTAGGCGTACTTGTCGAAGAAAGATCCATGAGAGGGTTACTGCTGTTTCTGGTATATATATGCTTACTTACATAGATGGCTGGTTTTGGTTTGCTTATGCAGTCCTTACTAATAATGAGCAAGGATGCAATGTATTTTATCTTTGTTGTGTTTAGTTTTGCAATACATGAATCACATGAAGGTTGTCACCACAAAACAGATTGCTTCATCTAATTCTTATTGTCAACATTATTATTGACTCCAGCGGCATTCTCTGTCGCTGCGGTACCAATATATTCTTTAAAACCTTGTAATCTAATACTTATTTGTTAGGCAGAAACAGAAGTCTGCAATGCGTAGAGCGATTTACTGCATAAGTTGGGTTTCACTTCCTTTAAGTTAAAATAGACTTTTCAAGCATCAGGGAATTTGGATAATTTATCTAGTTGTATTCCTCGTCTTCTGTGTTTTTGTAATTTAAGTGCTTGCTGAGGCTATTTATATACCGGAGGAAAAATCATGTTATGCTCTCTCATATGCACATAATGTATCTGGCTTGAAGACTACTTGTGATGTGACTAGCCATGCATAAACACTTCTCGATTTCTAACCTAAACAGAGAGAAGAAGGGTTCTGGGGTTGCTGGGTAGTCTTTCATTTACTTAATACAAATTTTGGGGTCAGACAAGGATAAGGTCAGAGAAAGTGTGCTTGTACCCAAACCGAAAAGAGGGAAACAAAGTGGAAACTAGAAAAGAGGATGATGCAGACAATAAAGACAGGAAGTGACTACTTACATTCATTTGCTTTAGGTTGATGTTTCCAATTAACTATCATAAAATTTATAATGCTTCTTGGGGGGCATGGTCCCATATATTAAGATTATCTTTGCCAATTATAGATTTTATTTCTTTATTCTTTATAGGGTATTGACATACCACTGAGAAATAAAATGAATAAGAGTGTAGAGTAATTAAAACTGATGCAAAGTAGTACGCACCAACCTTTTCTGCCTGCTCATCATGTTTCTTCAACTTTGGGAACCCTCGTCTAGTGTCTTTTTAGTTATACACGATGTGCACTTGAATTCAGCTCAGCTCACTGAAGAAGGTTTATCTAATTCATTTTCACGTGGCTATGAAAAGAAATTAAAGTTGGTTTTTCTTTGTACATGACTCCAGGATGACTTGAACCGTTGTGCACCTTTAATTCCTACACTGTCATCTTCATTAAGTTCGTTTGCGTTTTTTATTGTAAGATGAGTCACTGACATATATATTTATGTTAGCAATGACAATGGCGCTACAAAATCCCGAGAGCGATCAAAATTACATACATGACCTGACGAAGGCATCAGAACAGCTTGATAAAGCGCTGTCTGAGGAAAAGATTCGATCGTTAATCGATCGCTTATCAGTGAAAAATGGTGCAGACATGTATGTATTTTCTGCCAGTATCAGTAAGAGCATTTCTATTTTACATTTTATATTCATTAAGGTCTTTATTTTGTTTACCTATTTGTTGCAGGGCAAAGAAGGAAGCAAAAAGAGAAGAAAAACTACTAATTAAACAAATGGAGAGAGATAAACGAGAGGCCGAGAAAGAGAAAAAAAAATTGGAACGTGAGCGTCAAAAGGAAGAGTTGCAAAGTGTAAGTTATTTTTTGATACCTTTTGTGCTTCCTAGTTGTAGTGTCATGACATTTAGAAGTATTTCAGGAGAAAGAGTTAAAGCGGCTGCAAGGGGAGTCAGAAAAAGATGAAAAGCGTCGTGAAAAGGAAGAGTCTGAAATGAGGAAACTGCAGAGGAAGCAGCAAGAAGATGCTGAAAGAGAACAACGCCGTCGAGAAAAGGAAGAAGCTGAATTGAAAAAAAAACTTTCCATAAAAAAACAAGCTTCAATTATGGAACGGTTTGTCAAAAGAAGCAAAACCAGCTCAGCGTGCCAGAATGACCAGCTCCCAACTAAAACAATTGTCTCTGAATCATTGAGTAAAAACAGTGAAAATATGCCTGATGTAGTCACTCAGTCAATGGACAACACTCTTTCATCTAATGTAGAGATTAATGCTGAGGATATACGCAGGTTGGTATTATCAATATTCAAACCATATATCACTAAAGATGTAATCGTCTCAAAGTAAGATAGTTTCTTCACACATTGCAGGTCACACTTGTCTTCTTGGCGTCATGTTGGTCATTATATTCGTTCAAACAGAAACCAACACTGGGGCCGACGTCAGAAGCCTAAGACTGAACTAGTTAAGGAACTCAAGCTCACAACCAGTAAAGAGCTAGTTCATGGGGACGATTTAAGCACGGAGAAATTAGCTGATAGATGGGGAGAACAAGTTTCCAATGATAAATCATGTCAGATTAATACAGATTCTTCTCTTGCTGCTGTTAAAATATGCAAGCGGGGAAAACAGTTGTTACAATTTGATAAAAGCTGTAGACCTGCATTTTATGGTATATGGCCTAAGAAAAGGTGAGTTAATCTCCTTCATGGATTTTGTTTTTGGAGTGTGAGACTTTTTAAGCACATATTGTATGGCTCAAAAGGAGGTCTAAAACTGTCAACCTGCACGGTGTCTCCACTTTTTTATCATTTAACTTTAATGACTGCTTGAAGTTTCAGAAGGCACATATCGTTTGTCAATCGTCAAGTAATTTGTTGGGAACATGCCAATGTTGACATAGAACCCACGGGTCGGCACATAGTCTGTTTATATTTGTGTCTTTCTGTGGCTGACCCTAATTAGTTGGTATCACATTTTTATTGAACACTTTTAATTGGAAATTCTTGGGCACAACGGTAAAAGGGAAGCAAGAAATTACATCATTTGAGTACTTTACATGTTTTATTTGTCTATTTGCATCTAAATTTACGTAGTGTATATTTTGTAAGGGGATTGTTATTTGCACTCCAAAAACTCATTTTGCACTCCAAACTTTCTATAATTAGAAAGAACAATACACTTGTGACTGTGAGGAGTGTAGAATGAGATTTTTGGAGTGCTAATAAAAGTTCCCTTTTGTAAATTTCATTTTTGTTAGTCTTTTTAAGCAGTAATGAAATTAAATCATGACATTTTGTCTTATGTGATGTCTAGAATGCTTAACTGCTGTGTGCTCAAATATGACACTGATCATTTTTATTGTAATGTTGTCTTTCAGTCGTGTTGTTGGACCATGCCACCCTTTTAGGAGGGACCCAGACTTGGATTATGACGTTGATAGCGATGAGGAGTGGGAAGAGGTAATATATGACTCTTCATGCAATGTAGTTGATATGTAGGAGATGATTGTCAATAATGACTGTCATTATCCAGGAGGAGCCTGGTGAAAACCTTTCAGATTGTGATAAAGACGATGAAGAAAGCTTGGAAGAGGGGTGTTCAAAACCTGATGATGAAGATGAAAGTGAAGACGGCTTTCTTGTACCTGATGGGTATCTCTCTGAAAATGAGGTGAGAAACTGTGATTGGTTGACGTTGTGTAGTTACTTTTCACCCTTATGATAATGCTTTGGATGATCTTTGTGTATGGCCACCAAAATTTGGTGGTTGTGCTTATGTCTGTATGAAAGCCATTGCCATAGAGTAATTCCATAGGCATAACATTTCCTCTCTGAATCTTTCTACAGTTCTACCTGTTACTGATGAGTGACGTGTTGTCCATTCTCCTCGTTTAAATTACCTTTATATGAAAGTATCTATTTGTGAAACTTGCTATTTTATGCATGCAGGGTGTGCAAGTGGACAGGATGGAAACTGATACAACATTTGAGGAAACCAGAAGCTCACCCAGTATTAAGCAAGATTTAGAGAGTGAAAAATTCTCTATATTGCTTCGACAGCAAAAGTATTTTGGAAATTTGACAGAACGTGCTCTTCAGAAAAATCAGCCTTTAATTATATCAAATTTGGCGCATGACAAGGTCTCTTTGTTAAAGGTTGAAGATCTTAATGGTACTCTTAAGCTGGAACAGATGTGCTTGCAAGCTCTGAGTATGCATGTATTTCCTGGTTGCTCACCTGTGGAGATATCAGTTGATGGCATAAAAGAAGACAACCAAGAAGTTTGTCTTTCAAGTGGCAGTCTCTGTATTAAATCAACCTCTGCTGTGACAGCTATACCAGAATCAGATTTGCCTACAATTGTAAGTAGTGCATTTGTTTCTACAGTTTAATTCAGAAACTTTTTATGAGATTGTTTCCAGTATACATGAGCTGTTTCATTGGTACTGCATCCTAAACTTAGTATTAGTATAAAGTAATAAACTAATAGGAGTGGTTGGGGATAGCTTCATAAATAATTTTTCTTTGTTTAAACCTCTTTCTTAATGTTGCCAACGGTTGGCTACTAAGAATAATCTTTGCAATTTTCAGGTTTCTGTCATTCAATCATGCTCACAGAGCATCAATAAGGTGTTACAAACTTTGCAACACAAGTTCCCAGCTGTATCGAAGTCTCAGTTAAGGAATAAAGTGCGCGAGATATCGGATTTTGTGGATAACCGCTGGCAGGTTAATGACTCATTACTCGGTTGAGTGCCATTCCCGCTCCTCTCAAGACCCACTTGCGCACACACATGCACAGACACATGCGAAGTCTTGAATATTAGAGATCTTGTAGTTTTGTTGCTTGGGAGTGAGATATGCCTCTTTGGCTCAGTCTAATATATGTAAGAAGTTATGGTTTGCTAATATACGGTCATCTTAATGCAGGTGAAGAAAGAGATTTTGGAGAAGGTTGGCTTGTCAATATCTCCTGGTATGGGTAACTGTGTTCAGATAAATGGTGTTTACCATCATGAACCTGGTTAATGTATTCATTTGAGACTAATATTCGTCTGTGATTAGCAGAAAAGAGTGCTGTGCGGAGCAAGAGTATAGCTATGTTTTTCTCGAAAAGGTGCTTGCCGCCTACTGGCAAAAGCTTTAATCCCAATGAAAATTCACCTCAGCTAGCTGGGAAGGCAAGTTCTGCAGAAGGGCATCGGAGTTGCACGTAGGAACATCTGTAGCTTCTTATTTTAGTTGCCCGTTATGTTATGTAATATACGGGACGTGGTACATGGCTGTGTTTTGGTGAGTGGCATGTTATATATGCTAATACTATTTACTAGCAGCGTGTATCTGTGAAATCCCATGTGGTATAGATGGGGTTTGATGTAAAATCTGTGTCTGAGAATTCAGATAGTAGAACAGAATTCACTGGCATCCCATTACCGGTGGTAGAAATTTTTTCTGGGTTTGCATTTACAGCTTGATAATACTAGTAATCTTGTTTTGGGACTATTGAGGAAAGTTTTAAGAAGGAGAAATAAGCTGGTTGAAATGAAGAGACGTATGTATCTACTAGTGACTGACTTTTCAACATAATAAGTAATTTTGGGGTGGTGAGTGAGTAATTAATTAATGAGTATCATCTTGTATATTAAGAGAGAGGCGTATCATTTATATATATATATGTGTATGTATGGATCGTAATGGGTGGTGGCTGGCTGGGTTATTGGTGGAAAAGCATTGACAATGAATGAATTTTGAGGATGCTTTTGTCCCAGAAGCTTTAAAGCAGCAAAAGCAGAAGTCAAACCAATTTTGCTTGCTTGCGTTGCTTGCTTTGTAGACTGACTTGTCGACAACAACAAAATTGAATTGGAAGGAAAATACAGGTGGGAGATTGTCGCTTTTTTCTTCTTCTCTACCCACCACTACCAGTCTACCAGTCTACCATTCTACCAGTCTAACAGTACCAGACAACTGTTAACCGATCCGACCCATTGCTGCCGACTGGTTTTACTACTACTTGTTTACCGTTGGGAATTGTCCACTTTTTCAAGGCCTAAAATGGAAATGCCTCTTCATGAATTTCAGCTACAATTTTCTGTTTATATTGTATGATTTTGTTTTCTGTCAATGATTAGACTGGATTAGATTCAATCTTCTATATTCTATCATTTTGTTTTGCTCCAAATCCAAATCCAAATCCAAATCCAACTCCAACTCCAACGCTGGCTGCTACTTCTTTCTCTACAGTTTCGCTCCTTAAATACCATTTCATTTTTTATTTTGTTTACCAAAAGAAAAACCCATCAATTTGTAACACCTGTACGATGATTCACCTTGCGACAATACGGAGATGATACAAAGCTGGGCTGTGCATAATCAACGCAATTAACCATGGGATATTGCTCGTGCTGTTGTTGTGGGAACGTGGCTTAACCTTGAGCTTTGAATCACTTTTGTAATAGAATAAACTGCTGGAAACAAAGAAGGAATGAAAGGAGAGATAAGAGAATCCTAGTCCATATAGATAATTTACATTTCTTACCTCACCATGAAATGAAAAGTTTAATGATTTCTCTCGTCTTATATTTTGTTGACATGAAAAACGACGCCATGACCTAGCAATATTATCTTCACTATGAGGTGAGAGATTGAGTTAAGTCTTACAATGAGTTAGTAATAATATGATTCAAATTTACCTTTGACGAAAATCAGACCAAACACCTCTCACTTACAAGTTTTTTTTTTTTTGAAAATTTTACCCCAATTATTGTTAGCAACCTAATTAATGACTGACCGCACAAATGTACATGTATATGGAAAATACTTTTCGCACTCCTTTTTCAAAGGAAAATTAATGAAAAATATTTGAAAATTTGAGTTTTAACGATAAGGATAAAATAAATGGTAAAGTGAATAGTATTATGATTGATTTTTTAGTGTAAAAATATAGTTTTTCGTTAAAGTAAATAGTACCGAAGTTTTTCGTTAAAGTTCCCATTTTTCAATATAATATAAGCATGCACTCCCTTTGTTTGGATAAGAAATTAAAAATATGTGGTCTATTTAGAAATGGTTTTTATCATAAATAATCTCTGAAATTGATCTATATTATCAAGATGATCTTTGAAATTGAAAATTAATCAATGTAGTTCCTAGAAATGGATGTTGCAAATTAATATGGTCATTCCATCACAATTAGGTCAAAAATTCTGTTATATATATTAATGTGGCACATAACTAGATCCCACAAAGTCTCTAATTAAATATTATCACGTGAAATTAAAAATATTTAAATAATCCTTTTTTATTTTTATTTTTATATAATTAAAATCTAAAAATAAAAAGATGAACAGTTATGTTCTTCGCCTCCCCAATTCAAAACCTTCATTGCCTACTAGTTTTCGGGATTTCAGAGATCCTTCACTTTGGATAAAATTTTCGCTGCTAGTGTCCACCACATGGTCAACCCCCAATTGCTTCAAATACTCCACCTTCTCAGCTTCCCTGCAAATCCCAACAACACAACCCCGCAAATCCCCAACAACACAACCCCGCAAGGCCAACTAGTCCAGCTGCACGAAGAACCAGCAATATCTATAACAACCCTTTTAAAAAATTCAAAAATTATCAAAATTTAATGGCTCATCTTCCATTACAAAAGCCAAACCAGTCACGATCTTTACTCCGGTCACCGACGGATTCACCGCGCGTTCCATGTCCAGTGGTGGTGATGCAATCTGGAACCATGGCACCAGCTTTTGTAGCTCTCTGCTGCTCTGGTTATGTTGGTGGGCTTTTGCCTTTAATGAAGTTCATGTTTCCAGAAAGAAAAATCTATATAATTGAAATCAGATAAAAATATAATGAAATTTAACACAAATTGAAAAAATTGCAATGAGAATAACTATCAAGATTGGAGTTGGAATTAGATATGTAGAGCCGGATTTAAGCGAAAAGGATGACGATTGTTGTTTGGTGGCTGGGTTCGTAGAAGACGATGGCTGGGTTCAAACAAGAAGAAGATGATTTTTTGTTTTTTTAGAAATACTTTTCTTTGAAGAAATTAAAACCTTTCTCTAATTTACATGTCATCGTAAAATTGAAATAGGGGCTCACAATGTGCCAAGTCAGCATACTAACAGAAATTTTAACGGAATGATGACCTTAATTTGCAACACTTATATTCAGAAATGACATTGATTTTTTTTTAATTTCAGGATGTGATAAAAATCTATTTGAAAATAAAAAATGTATAACTCAAGAATAAAAGTTATCTTCATCGAGATTAATCATTTTTTCATTTCTTCAAAATAAAAAATCATTTTTTTTTCATTAAAATACCTTGAATTTAGAAAGCTATCCACTCAAATCCAATTCTCCACAAACGAGACCGCGAGGTGATGAGCATATATATGCGTGTGTAGGTTCTTTTTTTTTTTCTTAGAGAAAATCAAAGTGATTTCATTCGATAATTGAAAATTTAAAAAATTTTAACTTTTGAAGTTTTTGAATCGAGAGGTTTTGGATGTGACGGTTTGGCGTGTTACTAGTTTACTCGTATTACAACACATATATCTATATTATATCATGATTCATATTATAATAACTATCGATGCAAAATAAACATACACGTGTTCGAAGTCAACCTCGATTGGACTTAGGTATTGAAGGCGTTTGGGGTATGCAAGGAAGTCTCGAATACTCAAGTTGACATGGTTTAGGCTATGTAAATTGTGATTACTCTCAAGGAGAATAATAAACTCTTTTTGTGGATTTGAAGTTGGGATAATTTCTCATCTCTCGTCGGTATGAAACTCTAGAAACATGATTACTGTGGTGACATCTATCACCGAGCATGTGGGTTCCAAGTTGGGAAAAATGTGGCAGTGACGAAGCTAACATGAATTCATTAGTTGTTTTTTATCCCAACAACTTTAAAAACCTATGTATATTTGTTTATGTTATAAATTTAATAATTTAAATATTAGTATTATTAATATTTAAATATTAAATATTCAAGTGAATGAAAATTAAAGTGGAAAGATGGGTTAGTCTTGAATTACCTATATATTAGTAGTCAGCAATTGTTCCCTTTAATTTTATTTTGTCATGAAAGTGGTCACACTATGGGCTTGACCAGTTAATCTTGTTTGAATTCAAACAAAAATATAATTGCCTTATAACTGCCTATTTGGAAAGACACATCAGTTAAACAAAAGGCATTGACACATGTGTTGTATCAGACACCTCATTTGTTGGAACCACTTGAATACCTGAAAGGTTTCCTCCAGCCTTTTCACAAGGATGAGATATGATTGTTGAACAAAGGTTGCATCCTTTATCTTTTGGAAGCAGACATAACCTTTGAAAATGGGGCATGTCAATGCCTATAAATAGACTACCAAGTCAAGCAGTTTATATATAGTTTTGCATCCAGAAATCAATAAGAAATTAGAGTAGTTTAGTGTTTGATAAAGAGAGTTTTAAACACTTTTGGTTCGCTGTTCTTTGTGGATTGGAGTGCTACTTCCGCAAAAAGAAAGATCGTTGTATCCTGGGAGACATTTGCCAACGCAAACCCTGAGGCACCATTGAGGGGCAATATTGTCTTAAGGCTATAGAATCAAATTCTAGCCTTGATCTCTTAAGGTTCTTCTATTCCTTGTTCTTCTTGCATTTGTAGAGATTTTATTGTGTATTATTTAATAGTTTATAATAAAATATATAGCAGTTTTTCTAAAGCTTTTTCCAACCGTTTATGCATTGTATTTAACTTTTATAAACAGCTAAGCAAACTAAACTACAACCTCATCCTCCTACTTCTTCTATTTTCTTTTATCATATTTGTCCTTTATTTTCTCTTCTTGTGTTCGACTTTTGTGCAATAATGTGCCCTATGAAATACTTTAGTTGAAAAGTCTTGTTAGTCTCCACAATATCTTGCATCCACTATAAACAAGTCTCTATAAATAATAGTAGTTATCGATATAAGTTGGCATAAACTTTGAACATATGTTAACTGAATTGACAGGTGCCTACAAGATGCTCGATGAAATGACTCAATAAAGCTTTTTTTATTGATATTATGACCTCGTTATTTGAAAATCCTGACTATGCCATTGAATGTGGGGCTTTGCATTGATTAATTACTCAAGGGACCAATGATATATCGCCACATGGGGGATCTTCATGGGGGTTGTCTTGCTTATCATCGATGGTTACGATGAATGTTCTTTACACTAGGCCTCTTCGCAAGGCGATTTTCCAATTCGTACAATAGGCCTTTGTTTCTACAATAAACTTTTAGACCGATCGGAAGAATGATAGGTTTCCTTATTAATCTGAAAGAAATGGTGCTTTGCCCATACGAGATCCTTTCCTCTCAATCATTAGCGTGAAAACCCCTATTAACATGGTTCGCCTGAATTGCCTTGCTAAGTTGAGGACTTCTTTCACCAATTGGTACACTAGGGTGCTCCTTGCCGATTTGTAGTTTAACTCGTATTCTACATGTAGTGTAATGGGGATGAAGACACGGTGCATCGAGATGTTCATATATGAGGATTCGC